GAATAGCAGTATTTTTTTTCAATTTTTTGTTACATATTGTGTAATAAATCAGGCCGCTTAGCATCCTAAAAAAATGATGTTGTTTGATCCCATATTAAAAATGTTATTCTATTTTGCACTGGACATTAATGTGAGTGGATGTTTATCATTCTATCACGCAAAAACTATTGAGACACAGATGGAGTCGAAATTCTATACGCACATTCGTATTCTCATGCCTGATCGACGCGTAAACATATTTACGTACAGACATTTGTATAATTAATCATTTATTTATTATTTGTTTTAACAATTAATTCGTTATTAAAAAATTACATTTCTCAAAATGTGATTTTACAAAGAAAATTACGAGGAAAATGTACTGTATGTGAAAATTGTATTTCTAACGCTTTTGTTGCTAAAAAATAGAGAACATTGAGTACAAATTACATAAGAGCATAGGAATATACTAATTTCTTACTTTACAATCTTTTCTATAGAATCTATTTGTGCAATCACATTTTAAGAAAAATTTTTTAGGACTATTATTATTTATGTGGTCTCTTCAGCTTATCGTAATATTTTATAAAAATCAGTAGACTTCTTAAAAAAAATCTCGGAAAAATATTTACTGCCAAATATTAAATATTATACTTCCAAATACAGGCTGATTTACCAAAATATAGACATCTAAATATCTCTTTGATTTACGATGATAGGTAAAATTCTTTTTATGTTATGCAAATGGTAATCAAAATGAAAAGTTGAATATTTTACAAGACCTTTTCTTTTCTCAACATCATTTTATTCTACATTTTTAACGTCACTAATATTTTTCTCTTGTAAATGTATATTTCTTCTTTTGGTATATTATAGTTGACATTGAAACGCATAAAAACATTTTAGTGATATGACTTAAACGTGACTTCTGAGTCACAAAATTTTTATTTTGAAATTAAATATAACATTCATTTACACCAATGTCACTGATTTTTAACAGTGACGAGTGGGAAGTTGCTAAAAATTATAACGATGGCTCAGAAAAGAACATGTGCAATGCATTCATCTTTGATGCCATTTACATTGTATACAAAATAATCTTCCTGTCATCGCAAATGAAGGAGATACTTAGATGGCTACATTTCGGTGAACCGCTCTGTACTGACTTTAGATGCAAAGGGAGAAATGTCGTGGGTGAAGCCGCGACAGGGAACGCTGGTCAATAATACTATAGTATGCTTATGTGTAATACTTTATTTCAGTTTTACATTGCAATCCCCAGCCAAGGTACACAGCAGGTCATGCGATGAGCTGGGCATTACAATGTGCACGTGGCGTCGCATACCTCCATAATATGAAACCCAAACCTTTGATCCACAGGTAAAATAAAATATATTTTTCCAAAGAAAATACAGTAAAGAGCAAAATTGAACCAATACTTTTTAGAACTAAATAATTTTTCTCAAGTTGAACGAAAGAATCTGAATTTTTTTAAATAACTAGATGGATTAGTTTACTATGTGATGTGTGAAGAGAATTTCAAAAAAATTAAAATTAGTAGGAATTGTAAAGAAAAAAGTGAAGGTTGTTTTTCAACTTTTTTATTTGGGCTTGTAATGACAATTTGAACAACATCGAAATTGGTTATGAGTTATAACTAAGTAAAGGTGATGAAAATTGCAATTTTTTCGATTTTTGGCTTAAAATCTACATGTTTCGACGCTTGTCGTTTCCTTCGGCGCCAACGGATTTCGATGAAGTTTTCAGCATGTACCTATCTTATACAAATGTTCGAAATTTGTTGTTCAAATTTTTATTGCAAGCGCAGATGAAAAAGTTGAAAATAGCGATCTCTACATTTTTTTACACAACTTTTAATAAAAACTCCTATTATTTGATCCGATTTTAAAAAGTTATTCAGTTTTAAATCCATTAATTCCATTCTCTTTTTACAGAGACTTAAAACCACCGAATTTGTTATTAGTAATGGGTGGACACACCCTAAAAATTTGTGATTTCGGTACAGCTTGCGATCTGAATACCTACATGACTAACAATAAGGGGTCTGCTGCGTGGATGGCCCCGGAGGTATTTGAAGGTTCCAGGTACACGGAAAAATGTGATGTGTTTAGTTGGGGTGTCATTTTATGGGAGATATTATCGAGGAAGAAACCTTTTGATGAGATCGGTGGATCAGCCTACAGAATAATGTGGGCAGTGCACGTTGGGCAAAGACCCCCTTTAATAGAAGGTTGTCCAAAGCCAATTGAAGATCTCATGACCAGNACGTATGTTTTATTTCAAATATTCGTACAAAAAGGCTAATTATTACTTTTTGGTATATTATTTCTACCTCACTTACCAATCAATAGCTCTCTAAGAAGAAGAAATTAGAATAAGTGAATAAATTTTATATTCTGATCTTCGAGAATGCGTAAAATATCGAAAATCTCACATGACGATTAATTTTGTTGAGTCTCGTAACGATAATTAATTCTTCGAAATTTTTAGAAATTCCTAACATTTTGGAGAATTTTCAGGAATCCTGAATGTTTTCGAGAATTTCCATACAATAGAGAAACCCGAACATACTCGAGAATCGCGAACAGTTTAGAAACTTTCGGGAATCCCGAAATTTTCGAGAACCCATACCGTTCTGATTCGTCTCGATCATCGCGTTCTAGGTCTTTTGGGTTCTCGCTATTATATACATAAACTATTATTAATAAATCACGTTACAATGAATTCAGTTCTATATTTCTTTTTTTATTTATAAAGTAATAAAATGTATTAGGTCAGTGCAAAAGTTTGTATCCGATTTTTAGAAATGAGTCAGATCTCACGTACTTCGATTAAGATATTTGTTTTAACATAATGTTACAAATCTATCGAAAGATATGTAGAGTGCGGAGTTATATAATTTTATATTATATATGCGGAGTATAATATAAAATAAAACTTGAAGGGTATCAACTTAAGAAATTATATTTAGTAAGAATATTTAGTAGTAAAATTAAGAATTAATCAAAAATAAATTCAATAACTCTCTTCGTAGATACTTTCAGTCTCTACAAATTTAAACACCTGTTTTCAAAAATTTTCCCTAGCAGTATACTAAATCTGATCAATTCTGTTATCGGTAGACTCACTTAATACTTTAAACATCATGCTATGCATTTTGCTGTTGATACTTTATTATGCTCTGGCGTCACTACATATATTTTTTACATATATTTTTTAGGTCTTTACACATTCAATTTTGAATCGCTATAAATGCATAATATCCTAATC